ACTGCATCCTCTGACACACACTGGATGTACTACAGACAGAAGTAGTCCAGGTACAGTAGCTGAGGGGATCTGGGGAGTGAAATTGCTGCACTTCTGGAGAGATGACACACGTCAATGCTGGCAAATGTGACAGTGGCGTACCCTGACATTTTGAAAATCCACACAGAAGGTTGTGTGGCTCAGATCCCACTTGACACCTATAGTTGCTCTTTGTCCTCCTACATTTTTCACAATCTTTATAATCACATTTTTGTGAGTTTGTTCTGAATATGCAACATCTAGTGCGTGTCCTCAATTGTGTTTACAGGGCTAAATTTGACTTGACACATCAGTCGCACATCAAGACACTACTAGTACATAGAAACAGTGGGCGTGGCTGTTTCGATGCGCGTCACATGTCGTCAGTGTGTGATGTCCTTGCAAGGTGGAGATGTTCATGGAGGAAGAGATTATAGGGTCAGTACTGACTCGATTCTAGCCACTGATGCAACACACCTGAGGATGTCAGGAGAGCAGCAGACGTTGAGCTGTGCCAAGAGCAACAAAAAGAAGGGTTATTTTTTTTTTTTTTTTTTTTTGTGGGGGAAGGCCCGATTTAAAACCCGAGTTTTATTGAGGAGCACTCTCAAGAACCAGATAAGAAATTTATTAATTTAAAAAAATAAAACTGGCGCAGTGGCCGGTTGGGCAACAGGGTGGCCGACGGATTGTTTGGCCCCTCTCAGTCCCCGGCACAGCCTGTATTATGTCCCACAAACCCAAAGTGAAACCAAAACCAAACGTTGGCATGCAAAAAAAAAAGAAATAAACCCACGCTTATAATCCAAACCAAACTCAAGAAACTCAAACAAAAGAGAACATTCTACATGAGGAGCACTCTGTCAATCAGCAAGCCAGTCGACTGAAGTTGAATAGTCTAATAATCAATCTACCTGCACACTCACACAAGGAGGGAGGATACCAGCACACACACTCACACCCTGTGACATTTTTATTGTATGTGTAACAATTAACCAAAAAACTTTTTACCCACAAAATAAAATCAGAACTGTCTACTTTAAGAGAAGAGCGGGCTGACCTGCCAGACAGCTACCATCACCACCGGCTTCACAGGATGATGTTGTGGCACATAGCTGATACAGATTCTTGTCCTGTTGAGTCAAACCTATGGAAAAAGACTGGCAAGGGAATTACCCTCAAGTCCAGCATGCAGGGCCAGGCTCTCAGGGGGCAGTGGTAGAGTGGTAGAGTGGTAGCAGTGACAGTATAATGGTAAATAAACCTAGTGTAGCAGTAGCAAACAGGGAAGAGTCATAAAGCTGTAATGTCAGTTACACAGCTATATCTTAACATTAGCCACCATTTACTATGAGCAGAACAAGAAAGGCTGTAGCAGAATAACCCCTGTACTGAAATGAGCAAGAGTGTGTTTTATTGTTACATTTTGATTCGTAAGAATCGTGTGTAAGAGAAGGAAAGAGTAAGAGAGAATCCTTCTCTGTCAATCTTCAGCTGTCACTATCCAATAAAGGCAAAAAGCCCCCCCCAAAAAATATGTATAAAAAAAGCTACATAGTCCAGTTTGAAAGTGACAGGGAAAGGATTCATGGGAATTTGAAGTAGAAAATACTCAGCAGGTGGCCACAGGTAAGACAAACTGCACTCTGAAATGCAAAAAATTACAATAAAAGCAGAAGGCTTCATGAAGAGAAATATGAATATGTGTGGTCTTTAACCAGCAGACTCTCACTGTGTACACACATGTGGACTGAGCAGAGGCTCCAGACCGTGCGCTCTGCTGACTGCGCCTGTGGAAATTGTTGTTTCTCTTAGCAAGTCTCCGATCAAAGGGGATCGATTCCTCTGACCTTGTTCGAATCAAAGGCAGAGTGCGGTGGTCCCGTGCAGCTCTACCTCAGCCTCCCATCCAGATGAGGCTCCATATCCAACCCTAACTGGTGGTAATGATGATGAGTAATCAATAGGTGATTATGAGGCTTTAAGCCATATTGTTAGGAGATGGAGTGGAGTGATGCAGAGAGAAAATTGGGATGGAGCGAGACCTGGAAATAAAGGGCAGGACACACACAGAAACAGAATAGAAACAGCTAACACCAAATCATGCACGCAAGCAGGGACATGTACCCAATCAGTGGCGGACCAGAAAGTCGTGATGCATTTATGGTGAAACAGCTTAGTCATGGTTAGGGTTAGCAACCTAGAGGGCACTTTATTGTGTTTTATCTACCATAGGGGGATCCAAGACGGCACTTCTGCGCCATTTTTTTTAACATTGGGGCACCAGGTGGGGCGATCGCCCCGAGCCCACCAATGTACCCATTCACACACACAGACACACAATACCATGAAAAAGCCTGCTAATATTCACAGAAAGACACAATATAACACATGCACACACATACGTTTGATCTCACACACACGTTTACTTATGTCACTTTTTGGGACATTATAGACTTACATTAATTTCCTGGAGGCTACCCTAACTCTAACCTTTACCTAAACCTATCCCAGCCACTACTTGCCTAACCCTAACCTCTGACCCAAAAATAAGCTTCTTCCTAATTGGGGACTTTTCTTTTGCCAAGTGCGTCCCCAATTACCTGTCCTTAAACTTAAATGCGGCACCGAAAGTAGGCTAAGTCAGACCCACAGATGACTCGTCACTGTGACTCTCCATGTTCAACTCCATTACTAATGACTGGCCCGACAGAGACACTTGCAACCAAATCCCTCTATTTTTATTAAAGCACATTTATTTATAAGACCTGAACTAATCTTTGTAAATTCTAAATGATTTTTTTTTCACTTTTAATTATTGTGAAACCTATTAATGCTCCATATTAATATGCAGAGAGCTTTCTGGATTCAGTATACATCACTGAAAGTAATTATGGATAAGAGCTTTTTTTTGTTCTTTTGCTTAACAAGTCAAACCTTCCCAGTGAGGTGTGGTGCAGTAGGAAGACAAACACTGCCCTCTTCAGCCTATCAGCAGCAGCTCGCAGGCATCTGGCTCTGAGCCCGCTGGCATTTTCATTCCACAATAATCCATCTGAACGTCTCAATATGGCTCGGCTCTCTCCATGTGTCTGTCCCTCCGTCTGTCTCTCACGCTGCCCCCTTCCTCTGCGATGCATTGAAATGCTTTCCTTTTTATCTTGTCATCTCATCACAAATATCTCCTCGACACATCTGAGCAGCCTTAAATGGCAGAAAATGTCTTGAAATGAGGCAGATTTTCTTCTGTTTGAGGAAGATTTTCTTTTAAGTCAAAGTTGAGACAGAGGTTGAATGTTCTCATAGGACAAACAGAGAGGAGAGCAAAATGGAAAGCCATAGTGCAGTTATGAAGGTCATGCGTGGTTAATGTGTTTAGACTCTTAATTTCAGCCCTTCACCAGACCCCGCTAACATAGGCCTACACCACTTCATTTGGGAATGAGCAAGGGCAAAGAGACACACTCGTGTGCACACTCCGATGCTGGCACCAAATTTCTCCCATGTTCCTCTTTTTTGGAAAGTGAGCAGAGCCACTTTGTGCCAGTCCTGAAATAAAACATTTTCTAAGAGGTAAGTGTTTTTTTTCCCATAGTTCCACAGCGCTGTTCATTACCCTTGTGACAGCTGCAAGATTACTACCATGATTTAAAAAAAAAAAAAAAAAAAATATAAAGAAAGGCTGTTTCACCACACAGGGAGATAATTTTAACAGTTGGAGAAATTGTGCTCATTAAAAGATAATGTAACTTCTTTGAAAACATTGGCCTAAAATGTTTGAAGCAGTTTTTTTTAGAAGTACAGTTCATCTTAAAGTTATATGGAAGTCTGTTTTTACACACTAAATTTAAGTTGTATAATATCTCTTGAGCTGTAAATTCCTCTTTTGCTTCTGTTTCTTCTTTTGTCCACAAATCTGTATCCATCCTCATCGAGGCAGGTTATACTGTGATAAAATGAGCATTTATAAAAACTGATTCTGAAACTGTCATAATCATAATGACATTTCTAGTGTAAAGAGCCCGAGCATATTCATTTAGTTGATTTTTGAAGCAACTGTGCTTAACTACTTAAGGTACTTGTACTTGATTATTTCCATTTTATGCTACTTTAAACTTCTTACATTGTACAGTTATTGCTCTAAATGTATCTGACAGCTGCAGTTAGTGACATTTATAATAAAATGTTACATTCAAAAACACAAGCCTATAAGCTTATAAAATAGAATGCATTGTAGACCTAATGATGTAACAGTGCATAAAGTAATTGAAGTTCTATCGATCCATTTTGGGAGCTAACCCTAAAGCAGTAAACCTAACCCTTACTCTAACCTTACCGCTAACAGTGGGTTAGCTTAGCTTAGCACAAAGACTGGAAGCAGGGGGAAACAGCAACCCTTACTCTGTCTATAGTAAAATCCACCTACCAGCACCTCTCATTAACACTGAAGAACCCTGCTGGTTTGATTGTCACTTTTACACTTCAGTTCTTGTATGGATGAAACAAACAAAATTTAACATATCACTAGTAAAAAGTGACACCTTAGAGGAGTTAATAGGTTCTCTTTGTAACCTTTGGACACAGCCCTCAGTCTGTAAGTTAATTGAGGTAACTGGCTGGATCTTATATTTTAATGGACAGATAGGACAATGGAATCAATCTTCTCGTCTAACTCTCCATGTTAAACTACGATTTCAAACTAGCTTCGACCCGACCAGCTACAACAAAGGATCTGAGTACTTTTTCCACCAGTTGTGCTGACTGTATGTCATGAGTGTACGGTTCATTAACTCCATATAAAACTCATTATTGCAGAAATGCTTTGCAAGTCCATCTGAGAATACGGCTGCTTCTCTTCATCACTGAAACACAGTCCTTTCTGGAAATCAGCTGCACTTGTTCAGCATTTACAAAGTCACTCCTGATGTTTTTTTTATGCTTGAAGTTGTTCATTTTTCCACCAACTGACTATAGAGGACAGGATGAGCAGAGGACAGACTGAGGTCCTGGGGCTGCTGATAGCACTGACAAGCCTGCTGCTGCTAATCGCTGCTGCTGGAAAGGACTGTTGGAGGGTAGGAACACTCACACTCTACCTCTCATCTGTAATCACTGCTAATCCCTGTATGTAGACAGAGTGTAGAGTAGCCACTAGGCTGCACTACTGTGTAGTCTATGTGACTGGAGTGATACACTGGTGGGTAAACTCTGTGCTTTAGCGTGTGGTTACCACAGGGCAGACCACCAGTCATAAAGTGTGTATTCAATATTATTTAAATCTTACAACTAACAATTTGACTTGAATCATAATTCCCATGTTAGCAATCAGGCCTTTCACACGTTTGAATGTGTCTCCTGGTCCAGCAAGGAGCTAAAGATCAGCTGACCTCAGTAGGTCTGAGTTTCCGTTGTCGAGGCCTGTGGGGAGAGTGTGTTCATGACAGCCTGGTGGGTCTGAGGACATGTGACGTGTCAGTGTCCTACATGGAGAATCTGCCAGGTACAACAGCACATCCACTGCAACAATGTTATCTTCCCCTCCTGCTAATAGAACAGCAGAGGTGTCTAATAATGGGTGCCCCTGACACTTTATTCAAAGGTATAATCTGTGATTCAAAGTACAGCCCCAGCAGAGTTCAAAATACAGGACTGGAACCTACTCCCGTCTAATGCTCAGAAGAATAATACTCATTATGCACAATGGCCCCTGCCAGTATTGCAATATTATTAATGTTTGGGTTTATTGCTGATGCATGTGTAAGCAGCATTTTAATGTTGGAGGTGGTTCAGGTGGAGCTACTCTACATTTTAGCTACTTCTTATTCTGCAAGTTAGTTTACAGTATAACAAATTAAGCACATTCAATCTATATACAATCTTTATCCGTAAGGTAACTTGTAATTAGGGTTGAGCGAGTACTCAACTGAAACAAACAACTTTCCGGTACAGCTAATGTTCTTTTTACAAGTATCATAAATGTAGCCTATTCATACTTGTAAATATAGCAACTTTTATTTAAAAAAATAATTTTCCCCCCAAAATGAAATGGTTTTATTCTATGACATATCTGTACTGTAAAAGATCTAAGGGACAATGATCAAATGGGTGTTCATTTCTTCTAAATGTTTTCAGCCTGTTAATTATTTTCCCAAAAACCTAAAAGAGTAAAAGAACTGAATGAGTGTACTGTGTTCTGTTTATCTTTAAAAGCTTTTGTCAAATATTTCAGAAAAATGAATGAATGCAACCTGCCATTTTAAAGCCTAGTGTTCAGATATACTTTTTCTATTTGAATGTTAATCAAAGTAAAGGTACTTGTACAAATGAAAGAAAATACTTCATAATTAAAGTACCATAAAAACATAATGAAATACTGAGTGATCCCTTAACTGTTTGGACTGTATTTTGAAATGTCATGATCTGTGGGTTCTGTATATTGATCATCCCAAGCAGAGAATGTACTGTAATGTACTCACTCGCCACCGGAGGCCAAACTTTCAGTCTGGTGTGTTTTTCTGCTCCCTACAGCTGATTTGTTGGCTATGCGAGTAGCCTTGGTGGGGATGTGTGTTCTGTCTGTGCTCTCCATCCTGATCATGATACCTGGCCTGAGGTGCACTACACTGATCCCCAGTGGACTGGCTCAGGGCAGGCTGCTGCAGGTCTCTGGCGCCCTCTGTCTGTGTGGAGGTCTGTACTGCAGCTCCTCACTCTCAAAAACATGCTTTAATCAAATCCAGCCAGAAGCAGTTTGTTTGGTTTGTGGTCTCAGCACAGTAGGTCACTACTTCAGATTCATATCATTCTCTGGTTCATACACATTTCCACACAATTTACTTTGCTGTTAGCGGTTTTAACGTCTGACTCATATCTGTGTATTGGTTTAAAATGTGAGTGTGTCTCTCAGGAGTGTGTGGTGCAGCTGGCCTGCTGTGGTATGGAGTGGACACTTACACCACATACAGACTGGAAGTAGGTATCAACACACAACACAAACATTTTATATTATTTATATAGAGTTTTCTGAATCCCTTAAAAACCTGAAGCCAATGCCAAACTAATTAATCTAAATCTCCCATTCAGAATTTTTCTACTAATGTTGTGTAAACAGAAACTTAATTCCCTGTCTGGCTGCCACATTTGTTTTATACTGCTTTACCAAAAACACCTTTCTGTAGTCATTTATTACATTGTTTTGATAAGGATCTTGAATTACTAAATCCCATCTCTTATATCAATAAACTCCCCCCTTTATTTTAAAAAACTTTGCTGAAATTTTTGACAGATAATCCGTGAAAAAATCAGGTTCCTCTGGCTCCTCCGAGTGCTCTTAATGGTATTAACAAAAATCCACTGGGCCTGAACAAAAGCAATCAATCAAAGCTGAAAAGGATAGAAAGACGCTTTGGGTTGGTGGCTTGAAGAGAGTCGACTGCTGAGTCAGATGCACCCAAAAGTGTCTGTATTTGATGCCCTGGGAATGAGACGCAACAATCTTCCTTGGCTCTGATTGGTTGTTTTCGCTCAGGCCCGGTGGATCCTTACACATACAATTATGAGCACTAGGAGGAGCCAGAGGAACCTGATTGTTTTACACATTATCTGTCTCATGTTCTACTGTCAGGATATTATAAATGTGACAAAAATATTTTTATAAAATGTACATACTGCAGCTTTAAGTGGACAAAAATGAAGTGATGTATGTTTAAATAATGTTTATTACAATATTAAACAATAACAAGTTCTGCTTGTGAAAGTAACTGTAAAGTTAAATTGACTTAATTGCAAACTGACGAAGGCTGTTCTTTTCATTGAGATAATGATAAAAGCATTATGAGTGTTCATCAGTCCTCTGCTCTGGAATCTGCTGTGTGTCAGTCGCAGTGTGTTTTGTTGGCAGGCAGACACTCTAGCTTGATGCCAAACCTGCCATGTCAACTTAAAATACACTGAAAGAAATGCAGTCCAGTTAGACAATCAGCTAACTAATGTTGCAGCCAGTGGAATTCACAGAAAAGGTGTCAGAGAGGGAGAGGAGAGAAGCCTGTGGCACAGGTTTAATGGTGTTCACAAAGAATTTTTTTAAAAACCCAGAAATCAAGGCAGATGCTCTTTTGAAACTGCAGTATCCATTTTTTCTTTGCGGTTACTGAATTTCTAATAATACCATCAGAGAAGGGAGGGGGAACAATCACAGCTAGAGAGTTTTCATGCCTTTAAGGCATATTCAAAGTAAGAAATAATGTGCTTACTTCACTATTTCTGCATCTTTCTCTCTAACAGGCGACTCTGGGGATGCCAGGAATAACGTTTGAGTTCGGGCTCTCCTACTGGTTGATGCTGGGAAGTGTGCTCTGTTCTCTCACCTCAGCTGTACTGGCAGTCAGCAGTGTGTCTCGTATCAGTGATGCCATCAGGATGCAACCGAAGTCAGCTCACAGTCAGCCGGCCCAAACAGACATGTTACCACAGTCTACTTCAAATGACAAGACTTACATTTAAAAGGTCCCATATTGTAGAAAGGGAGATTTTCATGTCTTTTTTGGTTATAAGGCAGGTCTAGGTGCAATGTAAATACTGTGAAAATACCAATACAGTATTCCGCAAGTGTGCCTTTAAACAAGCCACAACGACATGATGTCATGGCGTCACTGCCCTCCAGCATGGTGTACCCGGACCCACTGTCTGTGTAGGCTACAAAAGCTTACTGCTGTGGTTGGCCTGGCTGTGCGTCAGAAAACCACAAATATACCTTCTTATGGATACCAAAACTTTAAATAAAGACAGTAAAAGTGTAAAATATGGGATCTTTAAAGCTTTCATCAACAAAATATGTACCATTAGCATTATATCCACATCCCAATATTAGATCATCTATGCTTTTCTGTATTAACAATCACCAGAATTGGTGTTCGCGTCTGTGCTACTGTTCAGTACAGAGCTCATGTCTGCCCTCATTTTACTTCTCAGTATGAATGACGAGTTTCCCTATGAAAACATGTTACATTGTTGTAATGATGTTTACAGTCTCGCAATAAAGGAGACATTTTCCAGTCTCACATTCCTAAATTACCACGATGAATCAAACGCATGTGCAAGACATCATCCATCATTCGAAGTGCTAAAAGTGGGAAAACACATTCCTGTGTTCACTATAATGATTTGGTTTCTGCTGCGAGCTTTGGTTCATAGGGTTCATTACATAAGTAACCTCTGCTTTGTGCATCACTTACTGTAAAAGTTCATTTATAAATATGTGCAGTGCCAAATATCCCATATCAGTAAAGATTTATCTCTGATAAACAGAAAATATCTTTCACATAGCTTGAGCAGGAAAATGCTATATGCTATATAAAACAGATGCTGATGTATATGTTTAATTTGGATAATTAAGCATGTGCTATGAATCACAGTTGTTGTTAAATGCTTCTGTATAATGGACATACATTTGGAGCAAATGTCCCTGTGGAAACATGTTTTTTTTTGCATGATACTCTTAAATAGTGTGAATGGTGCACATCTGTATTGTGGAACAGACCGTATAGTCATCGGTAGTGTAGGTGCATCCGTACATGTCAGGTGTATGTGAGATTTCACGTCCATGCTCTGTTCCCATCACTGGTGTCCTCACTGTGCACTTTTTCTCAAACTGTCTTATTTTAACTCTGTATACGATCTCATAGACAAGCTGTCTCGTAGACCGTATATTTGTACTGTTTCATCAAAGAGGTCTTGTGAACTCAGCATGAAAAGCAGCTCATTCAAATCATCCACATATTCAAGATCTTTAAATGTTATTTTATGCTTCTGATTAAAGAGAAAGCTCACATTTTTTCTTCAACTCTGTTTTAATACGCACACGACCACATGTACATTGAAAGTCATTTCATCCTGCTCTCCACACTGGCCATGAAGAGATCCCTTCCTACCGTGACGCCAATGTAAACACCTGTTCACACATACTGACTCAAACTCGCAGACTCCTGTTTCTCACAAGCCTGAAACTTGCAGGTGTGGTCAGTGTTGGTGCCAAATGTATATAGTCCGCTCTAATTAGGCAGTTATTTTCTGTTCCTGTTGTTTTTCTTGTTGAAGTCCTGGCATGTCGATAAAGTTATTATTGTAGTGGGGCGTTCAAAAGGAACCACATCCAGCACATTTACATAAAGAGAATACATTTTGATGAAGCTGTACCTTTCTCAGCTTCCCCACGTTGCACTGTTTGGCAAGTTTTGATTCTTGAGCCAGGATGTTATTTTGAGGTTCATTTCACAGTGAATGGCATTCTGTCATGCCTCATACAGTGTCAGTCTTTGAACAGGGGGGTAGGCAAGAGGGTCAAAGGCCACAGTCCTTGTTGCAAAATGCATTGTAAACTTCAGCCGGAGCCAATACAAGGCTTTAGTATTCTGAGTCTGAATTAGATGGGTCAAGAAGGTTTTTTTCTGGTGGGTAAGATTTGGTTTGATTATTTCGTAAGAAATTCCCTCTTTGTTTTAATGTCCCTCCACCACAGCTCAGCAAGGAAACACAGGAAGGGAATATTGTTCCAATGAGACTAAAGTGATCTCAAAAACACAAGCCCACTGCTCCAGTACGTCACTTAAATTATGTACGTAAGTTATGTATGTGACTTAAGTTAAATATGTTATGTAAGTTATACCAGGTTGGTGTTTTCAGCAATAGCACATTTTTTGGACCATTGGGGTTTCGGAATAATGGGCCGTTGGAACAATGGCATGGCGCCCTTACACAGGTGTTGGTCAGTAATACTGCATTTGTGAAAAGAGTTGGGCAACAGAAAGTCTTTTGTGGCTCCAGAGGGAGCTGTCCAAAATCTGATAGTTATCAACCCTAACCAATGTTGCCTTAGGTGATGTCACTTGAGGCTGCACCAGTTGGGGCTGAACTTGACTACATTTAAAAATAAAAATAAATCTTGGGGTGTGGAGACCTCTCCTCATCTCTGTTTGAGGCTAGCAGCTCAAGGCTACACTAGCTGCTATTAGCAATGCACCTTTTCGACAGAACCGTGTTAAGGTGATTAAGCTGAATTGTGGGTAATGTGGGCACCAGATTTTGACAAGGAAGACAAATGGAATAAAAAAAGACCTTGATCATGTTTTTGAAACTGTCAATATTGAATCTGACAATGTTAAATCTAAGAATGCATACACAGGGAACATTTTGCCCCCCATCTTTGTAATCATTGTAACATTTAAATCATTTAAAGAAGGGATCACTTCATGGTCAGTAAGCACAACAAGTATGAATACACACTCTTTCAATGTACGTATGGGTGTGTGGATATTGTATTAAAAAATATTTTTTTAAATAAAGTAAATCTAAGAACTTTTTGGGGATTCAACATAAAAATAGCTATTGTATTAGTTTCACCAGCTGGGATATAAAATCGATATGAGACAGAAACTTAATTCCAAGGTCATAATTTAACAAATGTTTTGTAGTTGAAACTCAACAGAAGAAGGAAATGAAAGCCTTGTTGTCAGCTATAGCAGTGGCGAGCAAGTTCACTTTTTCCACCTTTAAGAATGTGCCACAGTCCAGTGGAGCAGAAGTGGAATTCCACGTCTGCAATTATTGAACAACAGGGTGCAAAAGAAGTATTTGAGCTGGAGAGGAGGAACGAGCGGGGAGGGGGGCGAGTGGGCGAAAAGTCAGGCGAGGGTGAAGAGTTAGGAAACAACTAATAAAGCACTGACTCATAGCAAAACCATTTTTATGTCTCTGTTTACTTTATTCTAAAAGAAACAGACAGGGCTAAATGAGATGATACACAACATCGAGGAGGTAAATATTAGAGAAAGGAATGGCATGGTAAATAAATGCAGGCATCAGAGGGGCATTTGAACGCTCAGCAAACTGGCGTTCCTTAGTACAGGAGACAGCACACGGTACAGTACATCCTTTAGAGTCAATAATACAACGACTCTGTCATTCACACAAAATCATTTTGGCATTTAACCAAACAAAATAAATGTACTGGGTATATCCTCAATCCAGGCTACTTGGAAACAGGCACACAGCTTCTTACAAACAGTGGCATAAGGCACTATGCTGAAGATCTATCGTACGTGTGTCTTTGTTGTTCCGTAAGTGGTACTGCAGAGTCGCTTCACATTCATTTTCAGAAATCCAACAATAATAAAAAATAAAGGCGTACAGAACTGCTGGCAGAGGAGCTATGGACACACATCCCTCAGACGGGACGGGATACTCTAAAGAATCCACAAAGTCAAAAACATACATGTGCACAAACATGTGTTATAAGGCACTGTAGTAAAACATTATATATGTAGTAAAGAAAACAAAAAAAAAAAAAAAAAAGAATAGAATAGGTGGTATATACACCCGGGCATTTTAACATGTTATAGAAAACATACCCTGAATGACTGTCTCTCCCAAAGTCAACAAAACAGACAAGACAAGGATATCATCTTTATCAATTTCATAAAACCTCCACAAACAATTTCTTTTACTCCAACAAAGACTCTAATTTATGTTGCTTCAGTATGCTTGAAAGGTTGCTGTTCATAAATTCTTTCTTTAATGCTGTCTGTCTGTTTTGGATTCCTCAGTGAGAGGGTTTTGTCATGTTGACAGAATCTAAACCATGGTAAGGCCAGAAGACTCTCCCAAACTACAAGTACTGCTCCCTTTTCTCTGGTGGGGTACTTTTAACATTTGGTCTGCAATTCAAAAGGGAAAAAAAGACACGTTTCAGTCAAAATACAGTCACAGCGAACAAAATAAACCCAAAAGACACATTTACAAAAAAAACCCAGAGGTCATAGGATATAAATCATAAATCAGCGCAACAAAAATCACAAAGGGTTTCATCTCATTGTTAACTTTTGTCCAATAATGGGACAGAGGGGGTTGTGGGAGGTGTAGTAAAGAGTGGAAAGGCTGAAATGGAGGAGACCACCTCATTTCTTAAATAGAAGATCTGATCACAAATCCTTTAAGAGTCCATATTTACAGAAAAGGCTCAGAAGGTAGGGAAACAATGGGAGAAGACAATGCATCTTGGTTCCCATTAAAACTGATAAGGTGCCGATGTTGTATTGAGGAAAGGGGAATGTTCTACTACAAGAGGTCCAAATTGAGGGTCTAAGAGGTAACAGGAAAGAAAGGGGGGAAGACAACGGTTGGACAGTCGGACAGTCCTCGATAAAAAGGCAGGGGCTGATCAGTCAGGGAAACTAGTTTCACTCAACAACTCTGCCCTGAATTAGAGGAGACAAGAAGACAGTCGGAGAAGAACAGGATTAGAGGACAGGAGGGGAAATAAGAGACACATCAAGACCTCTCAGATTCTCTCAAAGGCTGCGAAGTGTTAGAAAGAAAACAGGGCGCTTGATGGTTATAAAGACATTAGCTTAAAAGGGTAGAAAGTCAATGGTGATGCTACATGTCAGCTAGCCAGTAATCTTCAAAGAGATTACATGTTTTAAATAAATATTAGTAATAATGGACTGATTGATAAAAGTGAAACACATGACATGAAGTCAGATTTGTCTGGCTGAACTTCATCAGCTGTTTTTTAAGGGATAGTTTGACATTTTGGGAAACCAGTTTATTTGCTCTCTTGACAGATAGCACTTTCATGTTTGTATGCTAAATATGAAGCTATAGCCAAAAGTAACAAGCATGAACCTGCCAGGAACTCTACAGTTCAATAATTAAGACGTTATGTCTTTCTTGTACCTTAAGACTGAGCCAGGTAGCTGTTTCCCCAAATTTGTATGCTACGCTGAGCTAACCATCCTTGCTAGCTTAATATTTAACGGACAGATATGACAGTGGCATGGATCTTCTCGTCTAACTCCCAGCAAGAAAGCAAATAGTTTTTTCTCAAAATGTCAAATTATTATTTTAAATGTGTGTCTTCTTGTCTTTGGACACAGCGTAGGTGGTTACATCAGACGTGTTGTTGTGCAATCCTTATCCAAAGCACAGCTGCTACTGACAGACCAGTGACGACTGACATCCTCCTTTATTTAAAGGGCACAAGGAATTTCCTGCAGATCCACGACCCCCCAGTTTAAAAATAACAGAGTACTCCACAAACAAGTCTCTACCAAGAAGGGAGGCTGGGGGCCCGGGAAACGGGGGGACTGGGAGCAATTCTAAGAAAAGTTAATGGCTTTATTATCTGGAACAGTGATGGACCAGCTCTTTTAGGAACACAAATGAAGGCAAAGTGATGTGGGGGCGGGGAACTTCATCCTCATGGAGTAGTCAGTGGTTTGCAAAACACCTGTAGTCTACTGCAGCAAAGTGAAATATGATATGATATTATATTATAAGTCTGTTTTAAGCATAATGCTAGTTTATGGTCCATTGTGAAGAAATGTCAATACTGCACTATTGTCTTGTAGCTTAGGATTATACTTGTGTGAGAAGTATATGAAATAGCTTAGATCTTAGACATTGGTTTGGTTATATAAGAGATGAGATGAAGGAGTGTGTTAGTAAATGGTGATATGCGTTGATAGACTGTCCAGTTTCCTCTTAGTGTGGAGTTAAATGGTGAAATGATCATTAACAACATTCATACTGCGTATAAACTAAAGCAGACACCTTTTACCAACAATTCACCTCCACTTTATGTGCAGCTCTCATCAAGTGATTGTGGTGTAAAACGGGACCATGTTATAAGAACTAGCTTCTTTCAAAGTGCTGTTACAAAATGGCTGCCTGAGGCCTTAATTACACAGGACACTGAACACACCTGCTCCTTCACTGTCAGTCATTTTGGTTTCTTGAACCACACGTAAGCTGTCTTCATGGCCGTAGCTATATACTGAGATCGTGTCACATCCTGTATGTTGTTCTGGAATTTTGGGGTGGGGGTTGAGCCACCTCGGGCAATTAAAAACTACCACCTAGTGGATCTTTTATAGGCTGATTCTAGTGTGTTTTAGACTTGTTATACTTTAAGATGACTACTTTTAAACCAACAAAAATAAATAAATTAAGAGTGTAGCAGTTTCCTGCCAGAATCGTATTCTAAACCTCTGGCTACTTCATGTGAGTAAAGTTTATCTGAAGTTTATCTACATTCTTTTATTCTTTTTTTTAAATGGGCTTCTGACCCTTTTAATCAAGCACAATTAGAGGCCGATCAGACAGTAACACATTGCTACAGGCGCAGCCGCTTCAAAAACTTATGCAAAACAGCTGGTTTGATTAACAGGAACAAAATGGATTCAAGCTGACATCGAGCTCTTGCCATTGCTATAAGTAATGAGGTAATGAATTACCCTTTCCTCTCTCACTACTCCATACCTCTCACGTCTACTGGCATCAAAACAGGAAGGAAGTGGTAGAGTGAATTTGAATCATAATAAAATGTGCAGCACAAGAGATGAGCGTGTGCCAGGCCATTGTTTGTAGCAACGCATCTAAGTGTGATCATTTGTGTTCATTTTATCTTTCTTTATCTAATTTATAGTTCGAAAAACCGACTTTGTCTCTTTTACCTACTAAACTTTACCTCTCTTTTAAAACTAACTTGAAGAGCTCCTATGCCTTGTGCCTCCCTCGTTCTTTGTTGACTTGCAACTGTGCTCGGAGTCTGAGCAGAAGAGTTCAGTGTCCTCTGTGATCACGGCCAAACTGACCTGTGTTCCTGGGAGAGACTGTAAAAGCCAACCTCTGTTTTCTCCCACAACAGCAGAGGAGCCGCTCAGTAACTTTTCCAAGTTTTTGGACAGTGGTTAGGGGCTCTCCCTTTACACAACATAACTGCACAAGTGGAGTTGTGAATACACAGAGCAATACGGAGGCAAACCAGGCCAACCAGGCAGCATAGGACATGCTAATATAAGTTCAGCAGGTGTTGCAGTATCTGTATTTCTACCTCCGTGTCCATCCTCTTATATTTAACCTTTGGATTCACTTTAAATGTATTTTTGCTGTACCAAGAAACAAATGTTGGGATTTGTTTCCTTTTTATCTCTCAGACAATTGATGACTGTGTGAGTATCTGTGATTGGTGAGGTCAGATTTAAGCAGCTGCACTAATTTCAAGTAGATTAAATGATGACATTAAGGCACAAGTTTACAAAACAAGCTCATCATTATATATGTTGGCTGAATGATTGACATGTAATATGTAGGTTGTCTGCTCATAAGTAATTATTTAAAGTGTGTAGCTTTTTTAGCCACAAAAATACATCCTACTGGTGGGTAATGTGTTTGTGTGTAATACTGTATGAGTACCTGTGTCTGCACATGTATGGCAGTGTGTGAGTACTACATGATTGCATGTGTGTACACTTTATAGTCTTTTTCTTTTTGTTTTAGCAGGTATAGTTTGAGAGAAAAAGGGTTGGTGGTGCCAAGCGTGTCCGATGCTCTCTGTTTGGGTGGCTGCAGGAAGGGGGGTGGGTTTTACACGTACTCCCTGGCTGTGGAAGGCTGTGATTGGCGGTAATATTGCTGCCCTCGCATGTCGTCTTTAGAGCAGGAGCAGCACAGCAAGGAGCCGCCCAGGACCGTCAGACTGGCCGCCGCCCAGCCCACAAACAGGGCCGAGCCAAACTCATACCTGGACAGGAAAGAGAAAGGAAAAGGTCAGAGGTATGCGATGGCTGTCAGTGTCTGAGGTTTTACTGTTTTCACTACCTTCGAGGTTATTATGATTAGCCTGAACTCGCTAGAAGGCAAAAACAACACTTTGCTTGACCTTTACCGAAGACATATCCAAGATTATCAAAGACAGTGTAAGAAATGGAGGATCATACATTTTTACCTGAAAGCCACTTCAGAGCAAAGGCATCCCCAAAATCAGATAACCCTTTCATCCCTGAATCTTTCTGTATGCTAAAACACAAAGTAGCTAACACTGGGATGGATGAAACACTTTATTTATCAGTTAGAGAGAAGTATTCAGGACTGCTCGATATGAAATTGATATGTTTTGCAGTTATTTTGCTATTTGCTGCTGTTTTAAGTTCCACTAAAACTATAATATTAGCTCTGATACAGAGCGAGCCATCTCTATCAGCTATAACTGGAACTATCTGGAGCTAAAGCTAGCCATGTTCATAACTTATTATTAGGAAATGTTAGCAGCTGAAGCTAGCATTGGCTAGCCATAATTACAAATGGTTGACAACTAATGTTAAAACTACATTTTCATTATCCACAATTAAGAAACCATTTGCTCAAGAAAGCCATGTTTATCAGGCATAATTGTCAACTGTTAGCAGGTGATGCTAGCTATCTTTATTAGTCACAATTGGAAGGTTTTAGCAGTTAAAGCTAGCTAAACTTTCGACTACAGGAACCTTGTCACAGTTTTGGTTGTTAGGCTGTAGCTCCTGCCCCTAAAAGCCCCCGGTCCTCATGCAATAGGCTACTTTTCAGTGGCCCTGTAACTCTCTTAATGAATTCTGCAGCATTGAACATCGATACCTGTTCAACCAAGCCTTACAAACGCTGTTACTCGTGTATAGCATTGATTTAGACTGGAGGCAATTACAGTTTGTCACTTGTGTCAATATTAGAACAAGGGATGGCAATTTCTTTTAATGTAAAACAGCTGTTACATCTCCAGTTTCAGACTGGTCTAAAAATATGAGATCGTCAAATATGTCGATAAGATAAAAAGAGAGTGAGAGAGCAAGCAAGAGAGAGAGAAAGCGAAAGGAAACAGCAAACTTTGGAATTATTTCAGCGCTGTCAACACTCAACTGATCAGCGTTACTTTAGAGACAGACGCCTTCCCTTTCTGCCAGTTCCTTCTCTACCTCCGCAAATCCTCTCTCAACACCACACTGCTGCACAACACTTGTTTCCTTACATGCAAAATGACTCATATGAAGCAGATCTTTCTAATCTGCCTATTTTTGGTTATTTACATCTTTCATAAAGGGAGTTTTGTTCCTGGGCTAAATCATCAGGTATTATTTTGTCATAAGGCTTAAACAGGAATTGCAACTTTTTGTTTACTTTCCTATCTCCAAATGATGTTTTGATGGATGGTCAATATTTGCCCATATTGCCTCAAAACAGTCACATACACAGTACACTGTCTGCAGAAAAATGCCCTTTTCTCAGCCGATATAAAGAGTAATGAATTTAAATGGCACATACACACGTGCTGAATGAGATGTCACATTTATCATTAACAAGGCTCCCGTGCTTGATAACCACAACAGTCTGAGTTAGGGTTAGATCCAATTAAATGATTAAAGGGTACAGATGTTCAGCAGGCAGTTCTTCCACATACCTAGCATTGGGCGGTGTATTTGGGTTGAAGAACTGATAGGACACCTGAGTGGCATACCAGGACACAGACACCAGTGTACATAGACCTGTGGAGGGAGAAGAGATTAACAAGAGTGTAGCAGTTCCCTGTATCACTGAAGCTAAAACAACACACAAATGAATTGGGGAATCCTCATTTAGTTCATTTCCTCCCTTGGGCTTGTGGTTTATGCCTGAGGTCAGCGGCTAATGCCTCTAAAATGACCACTTCCTGTTTACAGCGGGGAGACTCTAATTACCCAAAAGACCCCCGGTGAGACATTCAGGCTAGAAGAATGCCAGACCACTCTTGCTAAAAGCACTGGTTACTGTGGGAGATACTGCAGTACATACTTTTGGTTGCAAAGTAAACAAAACATTAGTGAAAAATCACACCTGCGAGCAGGAAGAGTGCTCCTCCAGTCACTGCGATGCGGGTTTTGGTGGCTGGGTTGTTATCTCCTACCTTCGTGCACTTCATGCCCACCACACTGACGATGATGCCGATAAAGCCCAGCAGTACCGACACTACCATGAGGGCCCGACATGTCTGGATGTGAACTAGATAAAGACAAAGAAAGGAGGAGGCAGAGATCGCAGAGGGGAGCACAGAATGGTAGTGATACAATAGAAGATATGAAGGAAAGGGAGGGAGGAAAGAAGAGATTGGAAAACAAATAGTCTTTTAGTCCATCACTTGGAATAAAACAAACATTTCTGGACTTTAAAGTGATAATTATAAGGGAATGAAGCTATACACGCTATGCAGGATTGATGGGAGACCACATGCATTTACGACAGAAAGCTCATAAGGGAGAGTCCACCACTGTCCTATTTTACAGCAGGGTAATTCCAGCTTTATTTTCCAGAGGTGACTTTCTTGGCTCTGGGACCTTAAAAGATCCTCCAAATCTTCTCAAGATCATTCCACTGTGGTTTTGCCTTCTCAAAAATCTAAATGTCTGCCCACACGGGCCTCAGCACACACATAACTTAGTGGGAGGAACATATTTACACATATTTACACTCACACATATGTACAATTCACAATATCTGCACACACAATTACTGTAGGTGGAATACACACAGATGAAACACACAACTCTCCCTCTCACACAGAGGGGCTGTAGGAGGGCCTGCTTTACATGTTTCACACAGTGGGATTAGTGTGGCTTTGTCACAAAGCAAGATTGTTTTCACGGGGCCGTCGCCACAGCGATCAGACGTTACCGCCTCAAACAGAGCCGCTCACGAACGCGTTAACGCAAAAGCAATGCTCAAAGCGCCTAATGATACTGTCAAAATAGTGATGGAGAGTGTCTGTTTTACAGCATGCTAGGGGATCGTTGAAATCCCAGCAGCAGTAGACAACATGCAAAGTCTGATACCCTGATTCTGATATCTGACAAAGCTGACAAATATGGTAATTAACGTAAACAGAACAGAGCCTTTCATACAGGTTTAACAGCCAAGGTCACAGGCAGTAGCCTCAAATCACAATGACTTCAATTGTAAGCCGGTGTTTATTCATCAAATTACATCAAAGCCACAAACACAACATCACTGAATAGACTTGAATAGAAAAAAAACCCAGAATAGAATAGTTTGACAAAAAAATCAAAAGAGTTTTTTTTCCAGAGCTTTCAACAGCAATTCATGACTTTGGAGCAAATATGTGGGTCAACCCCTAAACCTACTATCTCCAAGATCAAGAAAGGCTTTCTCACTCATCTGGCATAGAAAACAATAGTTAGCTCAAGGTCCACTATCTAGTTATTTTTCTGGAGCTTTCAATTGCAGCTTATGGTCTTCAAAGCCTGTAAATGTTAAAATGTTTTTGGTCAAATGACCGTTTCCATGTTCAAAAAGATCAAATAGGATAGGATAGGTAGGATAAAATACAATTGACTAGTCTGACAAGAGATTAGCTTTTTCCAGAGCTTTCAGTCACACATCATGGACTTCAAAGCTTTGGGAGTAAAAGTTGGTGGACCTTGAGTTAATTTATTTATCAAACTACTCCTGAACTTTACTGCTCAACTAGAATAGAAAACAATAGTTAGTGAACCATTTTCAATGCAGCTTTCAATTGCACCTCATGGTTTTTAATGCCTGTAAGTGGACCATGAGTTAGGATTTTTGGGGGGTCACAAATGGACTATTCACTATCTTCAAAGAAAAAAGAAGTTAACTTTTCCCCCCTAAACTGTTTCCAATGTCTACTTCTACTTTTAAGTTATTTTTGTCATACTCCTGTTTCCAATATCAACAATAAAACTAGAATAGAATAAAATTAACTAGCCTGACAAGAGATAAGCTTTTTCCCAGAGCTTTGAGTCACACATTATGGTCTTTAAAGCTTGTAAGTGGACCAGGAGTTAAAATGTTTTTTGCTCAAACGGCTGTTTCCATGTTCAAAAATGTATTCTACTGCTCAATTAGAACATAGAAGAGTAGAGTTCGACAATAGTTTAGCTTCTTTACTAAGTTTTCAACTGCATCTCACTAGCTTCAAAACAAAAACAAAAACCTAGTAAGTGGACCTTGAGTTGAGATTTTCTTCTTCAAACTGCTGTTTCCAATACCAACAATACAGTTTTAACAGAGTAGAGTAGAACAAAATAGATTTTACTAGCCTGGCAAGAGATTAGCGTTTGCCAGAACTCTCACTCACATGGCATGGTCTTCAAATCTAGTAATTGGACCTTGAGTTAAGATTTGTTTTCCAATGTGAAGAATAAAATTTCACATTAAACTATAATAGAGTGTGACCATATGTGTTATAAAATCACTTTAGAAAAAGCTGTTGAGCAACAGCCCGAGCAGGAACCTAAAGTCATCATTTGTCATTGTGACAGAAATACAGACACCATCATTCATGGTGCAGCAGTAAAGTAGCATTTCAAAAGCTGATCTGAAGGGACTTATGATGGGGGGAAGAGGATGGAACAATCTTTGAAGTCTGATTTATGGCTCCAGAGCTTCTTTTGATGGGGTATCTGAATAGTCTTCAACAGAGAGAGGTTTGATTTTCTTTTCTTTCATCCACTCAGGGCATTCCTCTTCTCTTCTGAGGGCGTGCGGGGGTTCAGGCCGGTGCTAAATGACACCGCTCTGACTAGTTTCAGTTGGTGACAAACCAGAAGGGCTTTCGGGGGCCTTTGGGGTGAAGGAGAGGCTAAAAGGAGGGAGGGAGGGAGGGTGGCGGTATAGGCTTGCTCACCCACCAGGCCCTCTCTTTCCAGTGCCAAGGTTGGCAGTGCCAGCCACAAGCTTTCAATGAGTGTGTGTGCTCGCTGGTGTGTGTAGGCGCTGTAAGGTCCCATTGTGAGGTCACTTGTGACTCTGTCGTACGTAATATCTGTTTGCCCACTCACTACCCAACTATAAAACTTAACTCATATTTGACAACTGCAGTCCACTTTCACCTCCAACTCAAAGCACAAACTCATTAATATAATGTTATTAAATGTATTACTACACTTTATTTGGCAAAAATTGAATTTTCCTAAACCGGTTATTCCTTGGTTCACATTTAAGTAAACAGGGTGGTGTCCCAGTTATCCTTACTGATCAAGGCTAAACTCTTAAAGCTAACAAATAGGCAGACTGGAATAAATGCTGTTATAGCTCACTGTGGGCATGCACACATCACACCACTTTATTCACTCTTTTGAATGGAAATTGTATAACTTTCATTCATAGTCATGACTGAACCTGAGCACCAACCCATTACGGACAGGACAAACAAATCCCATGAAAAGACCAAAACCACCACTAACAAGTAATGTGTATGTATCTTCTTCCTCTGCGCCATATAGCTCCATTGTTGTCCAAAGACTATTAAAAACACATCAATGAGCCACACAGTTACACGGTTCCTCCATTACCATGACCACTCACTGTGTTGTTTGTATTATACTCACTTACGCACCAAATGTGTATTATGCCACAGCTGAAAATAGTCCCAAACAAATGTAATATTTACTTGTAACATATTTGTGATTAATATTTTCAGTAAGAGTAAGAAAGTGCCCCAGATGGGTAGGGAAGTCAGAAAGTATTACAAGGAAGACTTGGTTTTTGTCTTTTCATGGGATTTGTCAACCATACGAAACATATATAACACCAGCTTTATCCCTGAAGTGACAAATAATAGCAGTTGACGTGTGTTGGACAGTTGCTTGACCACTGATTGAGCAGATCTGGCTCTTAGCAGATCCAAAATATCTAAAGTGGATAAACTGAGAGAAACACTACTGTAGTCTTACCAAGTGCATCTACTGAATCTCAAGCTGCACTCAGCCAGCAGAACTACACTTTTACATGAATGTAAGTTACAGAACCGGATGCAAAGTTGTCTACATTTTGACTTTAACATTAAAGTGAATTTAAGATAATGATACAGTGTGACAGAGGCAGTGTCTCTAATATCATGCTCAGATATTTCTGTTCCAAAGAGCTGTCCTTTCAGCACCACCATCCACACTCTTCTGACAATACCAACCAACCTTCTCAACCCTGTATTATCCTGATCATTATTATCATCATCATCTCCTTTTTGAGTGAAAAAACTCAGTCAACCTGCCACAGATCCAACACTTTCCACTACGGTTGCTTGGCTGCATCAGCAGAGCACAGCACAGTCTGGTGAACAATTATACCCTCCATCACATGCTGCTCCTGCTGCGAATGTAGCCAGGGAGTTACTTCAGAACTCAAATCGGTGTTATGAATTGGATCAAACCAACGCCAGAGGGCTGTTTAATCAAGATTCAGACATGGCTGACCCCGGACACATGATTGGATGCTGATCTGCTCCATTTCATAATCTGTCTGGGGAAACACCAGAATAAACCTGCAATTGATCAAAACACTTGGTGTGTGATCAGAAGGCTTTTCTCCGGCGTTTGTCTTCAGTCTGAATCTATACTCACTGGGTGTGTTAATGGAACAATGTGCGCGTGTGGGGAAGACAGAGCGCATTCTGGGAATATCTCTGGTGTTTGGCTCAACACTGGCCTTTTCTTCTCCTAACAGCCCCTATTCATCCGCAAGGACAATACGCTGTTCTTGTTGCTGCAATGAACTAAAGGAGATAGGAGATCAGCTCCCGTCACACATAACGCCACAGAAAGCGTCTTGATATAATGACTCACCAGGACACCAAAATGTTTGCAAAGCTCCTCATTTGTTGCTTCAAGGCGAGTGTGCCACAGTAGGACTCAAACCGCCGAGAAAAACAAACTCAAAGTGTTCAGTTGTTTTGTTGAAATTACTTCTGCCCGAGCCCACCCCCTGTAGCCTTTCATTAGACTCTCTAATAGAGTGATTTAAGCATACAGCACTGTGGATGGATGGACTCCTATAATCTGCGTGTCATTAATTATGAGTCACTAGTTCCCACTTACAGATCGGAGATGACAGGAGGCTCATATTCTGAGCTAATTTATGTCTGAACCCCACATTCCTGACCCCCTCCCACCCCTCACATATTACGTTTCATGATGTCTCAGAGTATTTAATTGAAGTCCATTAAAAGGTTTGAACGGCAGCATTTTAAGATTTACAGCTTTGGAATTTAATGCGTCCCAGATAGCGAGGGCTTGGGGACTTGTTTTCCTTCTGTTTTCTGCTGACAATAATTGTTGTGATTTGTAATACAACACCATAGATGTTTCTCAGAGGAACTATAGAAGGCAAAGGGTTTCACTGGATCCTTCTTTTATCACCGTGACTGATGACAAAGAACTGCCCAAAACACGGTTATTAAAGAAAATTAAATGAGAGCGACCAAGAAAGAAAGAAATTACAGAAAATAAGTACAGTGTGAAGTATGGAGTGGGATTTAAAGAATTAGAAAAACCTTTATTGGTGCCTTACTTGAATTTTAAATGTGCTTTTCTATCATCTGATAAATTATCCACAGAAAATCATTTAATCAGCTACACAGTGCCCCATGGCATTTACAAAAACAAAGATTTTTGCATATTTTGTTAATTATAGGAGCATATACTCCTTCAGTAAGTTTTACCAAATAGTTGAAGAGTGGATTTGATTAGCTCCCAGTCACAGGGAGACAGCCAGAGAAAGCCTCTACAAGTCAGTCAGTCAGGTTTGGTCGAACCAAATTCAAACATCGTACTCACTGTCCAGCGAGAGCATGGAGTCGAAGATCTTGCACTGCACCTGTCCTGTACTCTGCGAGGCACAGCTCATCCACAGCCCTTCGTACAGACCCACGGCCGTGATGATGGCATCGCCGGCGTACGACGACTGCTTCCACTGGGGCAAAGCGGTGGTGGAGATGATGCCGATCCATCCGCCTAATGCTAGAAAGTAGCCCAACAACTGGAGACCTGAGTTGGCCATCCTTATCTAGCTCGTTCCTCTGATTCTGCCTGCTCTCACTCTTTCACTCTCTGCTTCACTTGCCTTTGTTCGGGTGACTCTGGTGTGTCGCCCTTTCTTTGAGCAGTCTTTGTGGACACACCTTCAGCAATCCTGTTACTTGTTTCACTTTGGTCACTCACTATCTGGTCCCTCTGAGCATCTCCCTCTGCCTCCCTGCTTTAACTCTCATCTGCAGAACTCCTCTCCTCGTCTCTAACTCTTTCTTTCTTTCCTGTGCTCTACACGTCCTGGGCTGGGTTTTGCCCGTCAGCTGGGACGATGAGATGATGTCTCCCCTCAGGGCTGTCCTGTCTGATTCCTTGGTCTCTCTGAGGCAAAGTGGAAGAAAGACTTTCTGGTCAGCTCATCAAGCATCGTCTCTGGGCTGCCTCACTCTCTGCATGGCTTCTTCCAATACTCACTCTCTCTCTGCTGCTTGCTTACTTTCCCCCCACTACAATCTTTCCATCTGCTCCACGCTCAAGTGGCTCAATGAGGGGTAGCAGGAAAAAAAAGTAAAAAGGAAAAAAAACCTGAACACAAAAAGTCCTTAACAGGCTGACCGCAGAGGGATGGGGTAAAGGGCTGGCCTCTGATTGGACTCCTCTGTGTTGTAGGAACGCCTACTGGGAGGGAAGAGAGATGGGCTGGTTGGGAAAATAATCACTGTTTCAAACAGAGATGGAAAGAAAAAGAAAAAGATGTAGCTCAGGAGTGAAAACAGGCATAATGACAAGTTCATTAATGAAAAATAGCCAAGGATTGATCGCAAAATCCTTCCAATCCAACTGAGGACTTTGAATCTGTATCCAAACCATTCAGTCGAACCCTTCAACAGAATTTCAGCCTGCTGTTTTACCAGGTGTCGGATGCATTGATCCTTGAAAAGTTTGCCGCTCCCCCGCTGGAGGTGTGGAGGAGGTGGTGGTAAAGTGCAACAAACACACGTAAATCAGCATCTAAACAATGCCCGGCTGAAAAGGACGTGTCACATCCAGACAGGCTCTCTGGAAAATTATGGGCCGCCGAGGCAAGCCTCCCCCATCACCATGGCAACCGCGACAAATGAAGAGAGAGAAAGAGAGCGGCCGAGCGAGAGTTCACCCGACTGTACATCCTTGCGAGCTGTAAACGCAGACACACTCCAGCCTTTTGTGTGTGTGGAGAGTGCAGAAACCTGTTTTCCCACAGTTGCGCGGCCTATCAGCTCCGCTTCAGCTCATCTCATTAAATTACCTTCAATTCACCAGCTAACTAACTAACTAACTAACTAACTCAATAATTCCATTCTGCCAATTAGACTGTCCACACACTCAGTCTCAGAGACATGGCCGTTTTCTCACATCTGTAAGAGACATGTCTCACCCACACCCTGCACACACACACACACACACACACACACACACACACACACACACAGTCTGTCTGCTCAACAACCATGTTCTTGCCTACACACTCAAGGTTGTTTTCAGCAGACTTTGGATGTAAAAAATATTACTCACCTGAGAATAAATAGTAGCAATGTAAAGAAAGACATATGGAAAAGCAGGATGTTGTTGGTGGTCTAATTGTTCTGTGTTAATGAGCGTCCATTTCTCTCCACTTCTGGTTTTTCTCATTTGTGTTCTTGTATTCTCTATTTGCCCTTTTGTTCCTTTTCTCATCTCTCTTACCAATTCAACTTTGAACTTCAACATAAAAAAAAAAACACCAGAACATGTGAAGATGCATGTGACCTCACTTATCCGGCATGTCTTTGAAAACCCTTCACCACACACACACACATACACACTCAAACTGGGACACATATATGGCTAGAAAGAGCCATACATGGAGGTCTACCCATAGTTTGAACCAACCATTCTCCTCCAAGCCTTTCTCATCTGCACTGTTCTCGTAGGTTTGCATATTCAGGGTGTATGTATGTGTGACCGTACCGGTTGTGTGTTCAGGTTCGCGGTGTCTAATGAGGGGCCTGACATATAAGGATAAGTTGTGGTCAGAGCACAGGGGTCAGCTGAGCCCGAGAGGCGAGAAGAGATGAAAGAGAGGCAAAACAAGTGCTCAGGTCCAGTGGGAGTGAAAGGGTGGGGGCTTCTACAAGGCTTTGGAGGTCATTCTGATTTTGAATCATAACAACACACCGCCGTTGGTGTCGGCACAAGTTCAAGTGAAAAACGAGTGTCACTAACTGCCTGCAGGCTAAAAGCATATCACTCTAACAACTAATTCAGGGGACCTTTAGTCTTTACTTAAATATATATTTTGTTGTGAAATAAAAAATCAAGTTCTGAGATACCGTTAGACTTTTTACTTGTAATTGTTATTTTATTGAGCTTGGATGACACACAAATTATGCCTATTGATTCAATATACTATCATGACTTGTCAGAGTTAAAAATTTCCAGTTAATCAAAAAATAATTTAATTTTAAGTTCTGTTAATGTAAAATACAATTTGATGACGTGTAAACAGCCCAAACGTCTTGGCAAGCTAACTTAATATGGGATTACCCATTAGCCACCGCTCTGGTTAGCATGTAGGCTAGCTACGTTTATAAACTACAAGTAGCTACCTCATTTACTTTCGCTAGCTGACTTACAAACTAGCGCACAAATAGGTTGTGTGTTAGCAAGTTATCTTTAGTATTTCGTCTCATCTGAATCATAGTCTATTCATGTCTCGCTAACGTTAGCCCGTAATAGCCACTGCTTGCTAAGAGGCTAGGCCTCCATTTTGGCTTTTTGATGTGGCCTGTTGCTGACTACACTATTTGTACACTTTGCTCAAAACCAGTCGGAGTTATGTAGGGCCCTATGAATTCCGTTTATTTTTTCCTAAATTTTGTTTTATTTTTTTTCCAAATTCCGTTTTTTCCGTTTTAATTTTTGGGAATTCCATTTTTTACCTTTTACTCGTATTTTACCACAAAATAGTGTGTTTTTAATGTTTATGAATGAAATGAAACTTTACACAAATTAAATACAAATGACCAGCGTCTGTCTCGTGTTCTCTGCTGTTGGCGAGCAGTTGCTCTCTCCCCGGGTCTCAGTGCTTGTTTTCAACAGAAACACTCTGACAGCCTGCTCTCATTGTCTGTTGAGGATCTATTTTGAAGAACTATATTTCATTTGTAAGGGTTAATAAGTTAATATTAATGTTAAGACAGTTAATGTGATAAATATTTAGTTAAAAACATGGATTAAAGTTCTCCGTCGCTACGACGGATTTCCGTCATTCAGAGTTCACAGAGGCGACTTATGAGATCAATGCAGATCGGAGGAGAACAAAAAAGTGTTTTTTATTGACGGATTGTCACACTCTACAGCCAATGGTATCGTTAACAGCGTGTGAGCACCTGACCAATGACAGTGTAGTGACCCACACAGGGCGGATCTAAACACGGAGCGGCGCTAAAATTTAGCTGCTTAGCTAGCATGGACTCGTCGCGCTGCTACGTTATCAATTAGCTTTTGAGTTTAGTCAACACGTGAGAACTCGTCTGACACGGAGAGTCTCCTGTTGTGTGCTACATGTGTGAAATAACAACTATAGTCTGGACTTTGTCTGGAGTGTGTCTGTGTAAACGGCTTCATTCAGCGTCTCTCCCTCCCCTCTGGCACCGTGAGTTACCATGGTTACAGGAACGCCCTGAAGCTTTATAATGATAATCAATAAGAAGTTTTTGGTTAGTTTGACTGTATAAATCATGAATGTAGCCTGATTGTAGCTCAATGCTGAAATCTTGTATTCTAACATATAGAACAAATGTAAAGCCTCAGAGCTTCTTTGATTATTAACAGTATGTTAGTGATGACAGAAAGGTGATAACTCGCCATCAGACTGACAAGGCTGCAAAAGTTAGTTTGTATGATGTATTTTCCTGTTAAACGATAAGAGGCTCACTTTAAACAATATTATTAATAATAATAATAATAATAATAATAATAATTAATGATGATGATGAGAAGAAGAAGTAGAAAAATAGCGTACTGAAAAGTTCTAACGTTAGACGGTTTATTATTTGAAAAAGTAAAACTTGAGAGAAGCTTGGCAAAAAAAAGGCACAGTTTGATTTAATAGATTGAAAATTACATTGAAAAGACAAAAAACATTATAAGTGTGAATAGAACAGCTGTTCAGATCATCCTCCTGTAAAACACTGTTGGTCAAATATTTAAACTTGATGTCTGCATTAGAGAACATTGTGTGGGGTGAGGCTATAAATCTTATCTTAGTTTTTTAGCACGTGTCAAGTAATGTGCCCTGTAAAATGTTTCACAAATTACAAATTGGGAATATGACTTGGCTGCAGCTCGAAAAAACATTTCAATCAAAAGATTTTTTTTTGCTTTAATCCATGTAAAAAGAAGACTGTACATTTCATTTGAATGTTTGATTTGAAGTGATAAGTACACAGGTTAATTTCTAAGAAAAATGACGCTTTACGTTGTATTAGAAAGGACAGTAATGGTAATACAGTTCATTTAAATGTTTTGAAAGGGAAATATATTAAAAGATGAATGTTACATGTATGTTTAAAAGAGAAATACTAATTGGAAAGCTGTTTAAAAATATACATTATAATATTATATATATTATATAATTCCTTGCAAAAGTCAGTAATTTCATTTGTGTTATTTAAAATAAAGATTGTGAATTCATGATGAATAATTCTTTTGTTTGCACTAAAATGATTGATGAGAGAAGAGATGATGATGTGAGTACTGCCAAAGTTGATTGAAAGAAGCTTTGCTCATTTGATGTTGAAATTAGTGTGTGCCCACAAAACAACCAAAGTTGGAGTTTTGAGCAACTTAGCCTCCTGGGAAACACAGGAAAATGCCCTTATTATAGGACAGGGCTCAACTTAACTCTTGCAGAGATCAACTTAATAATTAAGTTCATGTTACTTAGAAATGTGTTTTATTGTGGCCAAAAAGCTTCTTCACCTTACTTAAAACATTATGTTGGATCAACTTAAATACCTCCATTCATGTTGACAATTATTAAGTTCATGTTACTTAGAAATGCGTTTTATTGTGGCCTAAAAGGTAATTCACCATACTCAAAACATTGCTTTGAATTAATGTAATTAATGTAACTGGCTTAACTTAAAAATTCTAGTGGAAAACATTGACATATTTTTTTTTTGTTGACCCAATGTTTTAGTTTTTAGAGTGTAGAATCCTCACACATAAATGACAGAATTGGTTGTCTATCATTGTCTTCCAAAATGACCCATAGAAGAGTTCTTGATCTGGCACACTATTGTCAGCATAATGATTTACCATTTGAAAAATGAATCATGTTTTCTGATCTGCCACCTTTATGGATAGGTTTTGTGTATATATACTGTATATGTAAGATTTTTGACACTAGACCTATGTTATATATTCTGTTGTTATCCCAAACATTTTCAACAATGTTCAAATCCAGTGTAATTTTATTCAGGTAACAGTGCATTACAACGGTCACCTGTCAGTGGCTTGTGTTGTGGTCACTTTTTATCCAGTTTGAAGCCACATTTTTACAA